GACTGGCAGCGGCTCTCCAGGGTCTCAGGAAGAGGCCTTCCACATCACCGACAACCTGATCCCGTTTTAGCTGGAGATGCCAGAGACTGGACTTGGGACCTTCTGCATGCCAAGCAGTGTCCTACTAATGAGCCACTGGGGTTTTCATACCACCTACTGCCTGCTCCTTTTAACTGGAGATGCCGGGGATTGAATCTGGGACCTTCTGTATGCCAAGCAGATGTTCTACCAGTGAGCAATGGAGGTTTTCATACCACCTACTGCCTGCTCCTTTTAACTGGAGATGCCAGGGATTGAATCTGGGACCTTCTGCATGGCAAGCAGATGTTCTACCGGTGAGCCACTGGGGTTTTCATACCACCTACTGCCTGGTCCTTTTAACTGGAGATGCTGGGGATTGAATCTGGGACCTTCTGCATGCCAAGCAGATGTTCTACCAGTGAGCCACTGGGGTTTTCATACCACCTACTGCCTGCTCATTTAACTGGAGATGCTAGGGATTGTACCTGGAACCTTCTGCATGCCAAGCAGATGTTCTACCAATGAGCCACTGAGGTTTTCATGCCACCAACTGCCTGGTTTTTAACTGGAGATGCCAGGGATTGGACCTGGGACCTTCTACATGCCAAGCAGATGTTCTACCAATGAGCCACTGGGGTTTTCATACCACCTACTGCCTAGTCCTTTTAACTGGAGATGCCGGGGATTGAACCTGGGACCTTCTTCCTGCCAAGCAGTAACAATGAGTCACTGAAATTTTCATGCCCTCCCTCTTGGTGTGTGCAAGGAGAAGTGTGTTGTGGGAGAGGATGAACGGAAAGTAGTAAGTTGCTGTCTGAGAATCCCATTCTACATATCATAGGGACAATGGCTTCCCTCCCTAGCATACAACAACGGTGTACCAAACTTTGGAAGTGTTGCATGTTAGATAAGATTTCGACTAACCTACTTAGCCACAAAAATAGCCCAAATCAAGCAGCTTTAATAGAGAAATGGTACCTATTATTAAGCCATTTCTGGACCGACTTACCTGATTATATCTTGACATTTTAGAGTAGCTACCACTGCTTTTCTTCATCCGCTTCCCCTTCCTCCTGATTACCTTGTTTTGTGTATTATATACAGGGGTCATTTTGTAGAAAAAGAGGTGCAGGAACTCATTAGCATAACTTATTTGCATATGCTACACCCCCTGACATCACCAGAAGTGTGTCAGAAGGCAACACCCAGCGCTCAGGCTCCACTGGACTGTTTTGGATTGCTAGCTATTGGGGGGAACGGGACGCGCAGATCTGCCCTCACAGAGGAGGGAGAGCTTTTACCTGAAGGTAGGCTGAGGGGGGAATCTGCAACTTACCTGGCTGCTTCTTGCTCCTTGTGGCCCTACTGAGGGCTGCTGGGAGCAGGAGGCGGGGCTTGTTGCATGTGCCCGCCCTCTGGGCTCCGTACTGCCGGAGCTCCGCTCCTGTGTGCTCCCGCAGGAAATGACCCCTGATTTTTATATATATAATAAAAGGGGGAAGGGGAATTCCTGCGGCGAGGGGAGTGACAGATGTGTGTGTGTGTGAACCTTTTGCTTCTAGCAGCGTAATTTCCTAAGGATTACATCTCCCGGGGGGGGGGGGGCCTTGAGAC